AGATTATTTTGTGTTCAACTTCAACTACAATTTGTTGTCATAGAACCAATTAAACACCCACTCTCATTACATTGCACAGCAGTGGAGAGGCTTGGTGCAAAGGCGGAATATACAATTCCCCCCTAAGTGTATAGACCCAAAAAGACCGAAAGAAACGAAAGAACGGCAAAAAGTTAAACAAGCAAAACTTTTGCCAGAACAGTTTATTGTTGGTTAAGTTTCGACATAAGTTTGAGGTTTAAGTTTTTCGTTTGATGCCACTCGGCGGTTCAGTTCAGTTCGGTGTAGTTCGGTTCGGTTTGGTTGCCTGTAATGGTGTCACTTAATTGTAAACATATGTTGTGGCATGTGTTTATCTAACAGCGCCGTTTCATGTTGCGCTCTTTGGGCACTTGCCAAACAACTGGTGTCGGGTGTGTTGTTCCAAAGCAAGCAAGTGACGCTATGTATGTTTGCCCTCCCACACACCTATGGATCTTTGTGATCCAAGAGGAGTGGATGCCCTGTAAAACGTAGGAAAAGAAAAGCAAAATGTAAACTTTTCTTCACACTCAATTGTCAATCCAGAATAACTGTGCCCAGGAGGGATTTAACTTGTGCCATAATGATGAGAGGGCGTATGTGAGTGTGTGTATGCGTGTGGGTGTAACGATGTCCTGCCAATGGTTATTGTTGTAAACAACCATAAGATGACTATCATTGATTTAAATGCCCACCCTCATACTCGGTTATGTGGGTGTCATCTTAATTATACATCTCATGTGTTAACAAGGGAGGACTCGAAGTGACTTAAATGTGAATATTAACAAGACGAGGCGAATATCTGTTAATCTTATTAAATAAAACTTTATAGAAGAGATAAGGATAAGGAAATTTAAGAATTAAAATTAATATGAATTGGAGGTAGGGGTTTCCAATTTTTTTATACCCTACACAACTATATTGTCAAGATAATATAACTTTTTGTGGCCCCAAGAGTTTGTACCGCCGCAAAATATTGGTCCTAGACCCACCTTTTATTATACCAACCGTCATATCTCGATTATCTAAAATTGATCTAGACATGTGTGTCCGATACATACCATATTTATGGACCAATCGCCACGAAATTTTCCATGTAGGACCGTTTCTGGCCAATAAAGACCCCCATTGTTATAGGGGTTACAACACGAAATTTTCCATGGAGAAGGGGATGAGGCCAAGGAATAAACATGGCGTTTTTGATAAAGATCGGTCAATATTTAGGGGGTCAAATGGAGCCAGACTTTTTGTGAAATTTGTATTCTATGATGAATATATTTACCCCTGATGGATATAGACCCGAGAAGTTGACTGTATATAAATATTTACGGAGATCTAAATATTTACGGAGATCTACCTATATTATGATTTCTATTACCACACTAGAGGAGATATATTTTATGTTCATCTATCTGAAATTTTACACGATGTTCCGGTTATGGTCAAGGACGACATCTATATGTTTCGGATAGATCAGAATATATATATATATATATATATATGTAGAGTATGAAATGGACCAAAGACATTTTTTGCGTGTTTTCAAGTCGCCCTATAGGCCACAATAATAAGCCGAACATCACAACGCATCACATGGGAAAGGGAACTGGTCAACTAATTAGAATGACTGTTTTGATCGCTCAATATTCAACGGGTCAAATAAATCAAAACCTTTCTGTGTAAAATGACAAAATTTTCATCATATGGAAAATGTTCAGCTCGGAAAGAATATTCCGAAATTATGGCTGGGGTACACTTATGGCAAGGGGTACAAACATCGCGAAATATTGCCCAGGTACTGAAAATAGATCCGCAGAAAGTAAGTGTTCCCTGTCAGTTGTGTAGGGTATCATATGGTCGGCCCTTCCGACTATACTAATCCGCTCACTGGTTTTGTTATACCTAACAACAATATAGTGAGTGAGAACATATCCATTTTAAGATAGTTCTCTATCGTACAATGTGTCACCCTACCAGATCCACTGAACTTGTTTTAGCTTCCATTATAAAAGGCGACCCAAAGCACCTGCAATCGATTGGGACCATTATTTATAAGCTATAGTTAGCATTGATGGATAATTAGGCTGCGACCTCCAATATACGGAAAATGATTGTGAAAAGTTTGTGTCAATTTTGTGTAAAATCGGGAGCTGTATCTAAATCTGGACCGATTTTCAGGAAACTTAACACACAACATTCTAGAGCTAATTCATTACCATATGCCAAATTTCGTGCAAATCGACAAATATATAGGGACTTTGCTACACCATATACATTAAATCGGACGAACATATATATGGGAGCTATATCTAAATCTGAACCGATTTTCAGGAAACTTAACACACATCATTCTAGAACTAATTCATTACGCCATGCCATATTTCGTGCAAATCGAAAGATATCTAAAGAATTTGGTACACCATTTACATAAAATCGGACGAAAATATAGTAGGGGCCTATATCTAAATCTGAACCGATTTTCACGAAACTTAACACACATTAGTCTGGACTAAATTCAGTACGCTATGCCAAATTTCGTGCAAAGCGAAGGATATGTAGGGACTTGGTACACCATTTACATAAAATCGGACGAAAATATATATAGGGCCAGGGACGTACGCAGGAGGGCGGACCGCCCCCCCCCCCCCCCCTAAATGATTTTCTATACCCTTCACCACACTGTGGTACAGGGTATTATGTCTTTGTGCATATGTTTGTAACAGGCAAAAATAATCGAGATAGACCCATGGTTCCTTTTGAGAATATACATAGAATCACTTTCTAAGTCGATTTATGCATGTCCGTCCGTCCGTCTGTCCGTCTGTCTGTCCATGTTAAATTGTAAACAAAGTACAGGTCGCATTTATGATCCGAATTGGATGAAATTTGGCATAGGTCACTTATTCGGCCCAAGGACGAACCCTATTGAAATTGGGAAAAATCGGTTCAGATTTAGATATAGCTCCCATATATATATATTTAACCGATTTAATGTAAAAGGTCCCTATATATCATTCGATTTGCACGAAATTTGGTGCAGCATAATCATTTAAGTCTAGAATGATGTCTGCCAAGTTTCGTAAAAATCGGTCCAGATTTAGATATATCTCCCATATATAGTTTCGTCCGATTTCATGTAAATGGTGCCCCAAAGTCCCTATATATCTTTCGATTTGCACGAAATTTGGCATAACGTACTGAATTAAGCATAGAGTGATGTCTGCCAAGTTTCGAGAAAATCGGTCCAGATTTAGATATAGCGCCCATATATAGTTTCGTCCGATTTCATGTAAATGGTGCCCCAAAGTCCCTATATATCTTTCGATTTGCACGAAATTTGGCATAACGTACTGAATTGAGCCTAGAATGATGTCTGCCAAGTTTCGTCAAAATCGGTCCAGATTTAGATATAGCTCCCATATATAGTTTCGTCCGATTTCATGTAAATGGTGCCCCAAAATCCCTATATATCTTTTGATTTGCACGAAATTTGGTACAGCCTGATCATTTAGGTCTAGAATGATGTCTGCCAAGTTTCGTGAAAATCGGTCCAGATTTAGATAGATATAGCCCCTTTTATTATAGATTGATTTTAAGTAATTGACGCACCATATATATTTTCGCCCGATTTCAAGTGTAATTTGGCATCAAACTCCTCATGTTAGACAGATTGACATCAAAGTTTGCACATCGTACAAAATTGGGCATAAAATTATATAGTTGCGTTTTCTAGAAGTACAGATATAGCCCTACGGATGACCTATTTAAATTTGTTTGCAGTCGATTTACATACTTTATGGATAGATCTAGGTAGATTCACATTTAGATAAATATCACATATTTTATTTCATCCAATTTCATGCTAATAGTCCTGTGTAATATACCCATAGTGGTGAAGGGTATCATATAGTCGGCCCCGTCCGACTTTACTACTTTCCTTACTGGTTTTGTTTTGTTCTTGTTTCACAGTAAATTTATGTTTGTAACAGCGAATTTTTTCATTTTGTACTACCGGAAAGACAATTAGGTTGAATGTTTCGGTGTGTTTTTCGTGGGATTTGGCGCAGAGTGAAAATCTGGTAAATTATGGATTTGCCATGTCTGAAGCCGCATTGGTATGGTCCAATAATGTCATTGACCATTGGCTTCAAACATTCAAACAGCACGCTGAAAGGAAACTTATTCTTCAATATTTGGAACATATGGTCTTGTATCCTTTTTCGAGCACGGGACACAGGATTCTGAGGCTTCAATCATTGGGTATGCCATTCCTCCAACTAAATTGTACTAATCAGCTGGTGTATGCTCCTGACCAGCATCTTTTATTATTCTTCAGCCGATTAATTGCTATTCTGACCCCATCTTGGATAGGTGGTATACAATCTATGCCGTCATCTCTATTGGTTCTGGGGTATTTTTCGTACCGCCAATTTTTGATACCAGAAGCTTTGCAATATGCATCTTTCATATCCTCGCTTACTGTACCTGTCACCAGGTTTCCTATTTCATCTTGCCTGCACCAAGGAGTGCTTTGGACAAGGAGTGCTTTCGTCAAGCTGGTGGGTAAGTTGAGCGGTTTGAAGCTGTTGTGTTTGAAGCTTTTCAAAGTCGAGTTTTGTGTGCTACATTAGATCGCACCTTTGCTGCTACATTAAGACGTGTGCGAACTCTAGCTGCTCCGAATTGATATTCGCTCCTCGGATCGATCGAACATCTAAACACAACATGATAAATTGGATTTCTATTGGTATCTATCATCCCCTACGTCACCCGACGTCAAACCTGTAAAGTAAATATTGATGTTACGATAGAACTCGCACTCGTCGACATAAAAAATCCCCTTCAATATATGAAGCATAGTGTTTCCCTTAGACCCTTATATACAAAAAAACTGATCTATAGAATACTAAAAATTTAGACCCATCGGAATAAAGTAACAGTAGTATATAAATAATATATATGCCGTTTATCTTCCAAAGCCTCCAGGAGAAGGTAATGTCGATGGCATCGATTCGAATGGACCCAATAAAACGGTGTCATTTCTTGGCTCTGAGGCGGATTTATTGCGGACATTTTGTGAGGCACATAATTGTCGCATACGAATGCAACCATGTAAGTATGGTAACCTCTTCGAAAACCCGACACACATAAAGCCCCCTATATTTCTTATCAGATGGACTTGATTTTTGGGGTGCAATTTTCGATAATGGTACTTCGGATGGTGCAATTGGTGATATTTATGAACAACGAACCGAAGTGGTAATTGGTTGTCTGTACAACTGGTACCCTGAGGTATGGGAAATATCACAATTTATTGCAAAATCGGCGGTGACTGTACTAGGACCGGGACCAACGTAAGAACAAGTATTTCATTAGGACAACAACAAAATAATAAAATATTTTTGTTTCCAGTCAATATCCACGCTGGCGTACAAATATAATGCCATTCTCCACGGAACTTTGGATATGCCTGATTCCGACATTGGTTATGTGTTCGCTGATGTTTCATTTTGTAAAATACACCGCCTATGGCTGTATGAAACATAAACCATCCAAGAAGAAACATGGTTTGAAAAATTTCGAAAAGGCAATGCTGGATGTTTTTGCTGTGTTTATACAACAACCATCTGTCGATACAGTGTAAAAGATAATTTTTCTAGAAGATGAGTAAATAATAATCTTGGATAAACACCTTTTTCAGGCTCAAACGTACCGCCAGTCGAGTGTTATTGGCATTCCTGTTGTGTGCCACAATTACCCTGGAGAACACATACAGTGGTCAATTGAAATCGATTTTAACAATGCCATTGTTTTACGAACCCATTGATACGGTCGAGAAATGGTCCAACACTGACTGGAAATGGGGTGCACCTTCGATTGTTTGGGTAGAGACAATATTGGGATCAAATATAACCAAGGAACAGCGTATGGCATCGCGTTTTGAGATACGTGATCATGATTACATGTACAATGCAAGCTTTCGTGATGATTATGGCTTTGGTGTGGAACGTCTCTATAGTGGATTTTTAAACGTTGGCAAATACATAACCATACCGGCAGTGGAATCGAAAGTGGTGATGGTATTATGTCTTTGTTTAAAATACAAAGGATTAGCCAAAAGTCATTAAAATGGTCAAAAACTCATTAAAAATGTATCAAATTACAGTAAACAAATCGTCTGTCCGTCCGTGTATGTGTGAACACGTGCGCTTTTGTTTACAAATAGTGTGTGTGTGTGTGTGATCCTCCGTTCTGAGTATGGCAATTTATGTATGTGCGTGTGTGTGTGATCCTCCGTTCTGAGTATGGCAAAGTATGTGTTTGTGTGTGTGTGTGTGTGTCTCCGTTCGCAAACTGTGTTGATCGACGTGTGTGGGCGCGCTCTTGACCTTGAGTATGGCAATGTGTGTGCGTGTGTGTGTGTGTGTCCGTTCGGTTTAAGAATATTAGGGATGGCAAACTATGTGGGCATGCGCGGAGCTTACCGAAATGTTTACAAGGGGAAGGGGGAACAGATATGTGGAACAAAATATAGGGAATAACAACAACAACAGCATGGTTAGCGATAGAAATGGTCAGGGGCATGAAGAGACAGACGCAGTTATGTTTATTTCTGATCGTATCAATACCAATGTGTTTATGTTAAATCGAGCATTGTTGAGTGTTGGACATGCGTGGAAAGGGTGGCAAATATGTGGCAAGGGGAAGGGGGAACAGATATGTGGAACAAACTATAGGGAATAACAACAACAACATGGTCAGCGATAGAAATGGTCAGTGGCATGAAGAGATAGACGCAGTTATGTTTATTTCTGATCATATCAATACCAATGTGTTTATGTTAAATCGAGTGTCGTTGAGTGTTGGGCATGCGTGGAAAGGGCGGCAAATATGTGGCAAGGGGAAAGGGGGGACAAATATGGGAAACAAACTATACGGACTATAGGGAAAAACATACAACAACATGGTCAGCGATAGAAATGGTCAGTGGCATGAAGAGATAGACGCAGTTATGTTTATTTCTGATCATATCAATACCAATGTGTATATGTTAAATCGAGTGTCGTTGACTGTTGGGCATGCGTGGAAAGGGCGGCAAATATGTGACAAGGGGAAAGGGGGGACAAATATGGGAAACAAACTATAAACAGCATAATGAATTTCGCAATGTTATGCAACTGTGATTAGGAGTGAAAAGGGAAGAGGCAGGAACAAATATGTGTTTACGAAATGTTTGGATGCAAGAGGAAACAGGGAGAGGAATATGTACGCCCTAGCTTTGAGTTTGATGTTTATTTCTGATCATATTAATACCAATGTGTTTATGTTAAATCGAGTGTCGTTGAGTGTTGGGCATGCGTGGAAAGGGCGGCAAATATGTGGCAAGGGGAAAGGGGGCGACAAATATGGGAAACAAACTATACGGACTATAGGGAAAAACATACAACAACATGGTCAGCGATAGAAATGGTCAGAGGCATGAAGAGACAGACGCAGTTATGTTTATTTCTGATCGTATCAATACCAATGTGTTTATGTTAAATCGAGCATTGTTGAGTGTTGGGCATGCGTGGAAAGGGTGGCAAATATGTGGCAAGGGGAAGGGGGAACAGATATGTGGAACAAACTATAGGGAATAACAACAACATATATTCAAAGCAATATATATGGGTTATAGGGTGCAACAACAACATGCCTGCATCAATTGTAGGATACAAGAGGAAAGGGGGAGGGGGATATGTACGCCCAACACTTGTTGATAAGAACTATTGGGCACAAATATGTGACACAGCATAATGAATTTCCCAATCTTAAGCAACTATGACAATGAGTGAAAAGGGAAGAGGCAGGAACAAATATGTGTTTACGAAATGTTTGGGTACAAGAGGAAAAGGGGAGAGGAATATGTACGCTCCTCGTTTGACGATACTCATGTTTATATTAATACCAATGTGTTTATGTTAAATCGAGCATCTTTGGATGTTGGGCATGCGTGGAGCTAACCGAAACATTTACAGGGGGAAAGGGGGACAAATATGGCAAACAATCTTTACGGATAATAGGGAACAACAACAACATGCATGCATCGATAAAATGGCCAGCGGTATTAAGAGACGGACGCATGGAGTTGTATGATTTTAGAGACTGATGAATGCCAAAACCGAACCACAACATTATGAATTTAGCACTCTTATGGAGCTATGACACGAAGGGCATGGGGAAGAGGCAGGAACAAATTGACAATCGACATTCGGAATGTTTGGTTTCAAGAGGAAAAGAGCATAATGTGTTTAGCTCCACTCCTCTTTTCCTCTATTTTTAATGTGTCAATGAACTTTAGGTAACACCAAGATTAGCAGCAATGCAATTAAACAACTGAAATATTAAAAGGAAAACGAAACGGAAAACGGATTAAGATGAAAAGGGAAATATATATTTTCCTATATTCAGGGAAACTTTTAATAAATTTAAATGTTTGTGCAAAGACAAAGAAACCATAAAAGACTTGAAAAAATAGTTTATGAAAACACATGTAGGGAGATTCAAATCAGAGATTTGCACTTAAAATATAAATTTGCACTTAAATAAATCAGAGATTTGCACTTAAAATATAAATTTGCATTTTATATGCTTGCGATGTTGTGGTTAAAACGCTTAACATTGTTCGCTGATATATCATAACAACAGAAAAAACGCCATCTATTGCAGTTTGTCGACGTATGAGTTTGGTTTATGTTGGGTTAGCAGACCCACTTATTAAATATGTATAGCAAATGGCTCAGCCTGTAGATAACGAGGATTAACTCTAATATTAAAGGAATCTGTGTTTGAGAATTATGTTATGGAAATAAGAGAGTTTTTTACTGTGTAGAAGTACTTTCTGTAAAACCAAAAAGAGGTCAGAGACTAACAAAGTGAACAAAAGTGAATACGCTGTGCGAAATTTCATCGTCCATGATATGTTTTAGTATCATGGACTATGAAAATGTACACAAAATGTACACTTTTATATATTGTGATATACAAGAATTGTAAGAAATTAGTTTACATAATTTTTCGATGTGTAGAAAAATGATGATTGGGTATTAAACAGTGGTTACCCGGCCTCATCCTCACAAATTATTTAGTTGAAAATATATATATATATATATTATATATATTATTTCTAATATGTGGTATGATATATATGAGCATTTATTTGACATATATGCAATGGAATTGACAATTTAAACCCACTGTTAACGAAATTCCGTACAAAGTAAATGTACAATAAAATACATTTTGTACGTTACATATTTTCGTATTTTGTCCTCTTTATTGTTAATTTAATTTGAACAAAGAAGAAAAAATTTGGTGGCAAGACTTTGTTAAAATGAGTTTTCATTATTTGAGAAAAAAAATTTTAAAAACGACAAAAACGGAAGCACGAAGCAATATTCGTAGTTGCCTATTTAAATATATAGTCCTGCATACTATTGAGAATTTTGTCCCCTTGCGATTTTACTTGGTTTTTTTTTTAAGTTTAAACTTTCATTGGACGGAATTCTATGCATTGTGATCGGATGACTCTAAAATTTATATATTCACATATTTCTTTCTAATCATTTACTAAAAGTAAAATTGTGGAATGTAATGCTTATGAAAAGGATTTTGCGTAGAAGATGATAAAGGAAAACCTCATATATGTATTAATTATTTCCTATAAGAAACATCTAATGTATAAACTAATATAGAGCAAAGGATTATCACTGCAGACATTGGGTGCATACTTTAGGGGTAAATAAAAATGTATCAAACATATATAAATTATATAAATTAAAATAAAAATCATCAGCTGTAATTTAAACTTGCGTTTATAGAATTATTATATAAAAACCCATTCCATGTTCATAATTAATATTATGAACGTAAAACTGTCAAAAACCGTTGGCGTAGTTTGGGTTCAATGGGTTTTGGTTGGTTGTTATAACGTGAAATTGAGTTCATTTGGGTTTGGTGTGGGTTTCGTTTAGGTGCGTTATCGGGTACATGTTTGCCATAGGTTCCTTTAGTCGCATTATAAATTACTTATTTACAATTTGTCTTGTATATGAATTAACAAGTATCGTGTTATTATTTTGTGAACATACTCGTATTTTATTAATATTATTTATAATAAATATAATGTAACATTCTGATAGTCGTGTTATAATTTTGTGATATGTACTTTTACACATAATTTTTGTACATAAATAAAATCCACAAGTCCTAATTAAAAAATAAGTTTGGCTATACATAGCATGTAATTATATGATAATTGTACACCATAAAATACTTAAAGGTCTACAAAATACATATTTTTATATGCTAATATGCCAATTATCAGGTATACAATTTTATGCGATGTATTCTTCAAGTTATTTGAATTTTATAGATGAATTACAAAGGGTTGTCTTTATCAATTATTATATAGTATGTGTTAGAATTGACGAATTAGATTTAATATAGTATTTAATATATTATGTCTGCTTCCCGTAGTTCTTCAATAATAGAAACTAACTCATTAGTATAATCATTATGCCCAGATTGTTGTAACTCCAGTAACAACTTTAATCTCTCAACTAATACGTTTGGATCATTCCAATGTTTATATTTCGGTTTTGCAAGGTTGAGTTTCATTAAGCCATTTCCACTATGTGTATCCCCAACCAATTGTTTTATAATATTCTTATATTTGTAGCCTCTGTTTGATTTTACTCGTTCATTAGGTTTATAGTCAACTTTGTATGCATTTGAGTCCAATAAAATTTTCTTATAAATCTCCAGTTCGGAAGCATCATAATTTGTTGGCTTTTGATGGAAGAGTAGTTCAAACAAGCCTGGCGTAAGCGCCCAATGTTGGTTTCCAATGATAATTTTTTCATTGTTAATTTTTAATGGTTTATCTCCGAATTTCCAACCTCCGTTTATATCCTTATGTGGACCATATACAGTATCCAGTTTGTTTCTTTGTTTCAAATATGAAATATTCATGTTATCATCATCGTCATCATTATTATCAGAATAAAATGTTTCGTCTCTTGTTTCATCATAGTTATTT